GGAGGGGCCACAGGGGGAGGCCCCTGTAGACTAATTAAAAATTAGTCTAAAAGCTAGTCTTATTATAACTTTGACTTATAATTCCACATTTTGTTTTCTGCATAAGAGACCAACATGTTTAAAAGACGTATTAGTTTGTTTGGGGGTACATTATACATGAAGATGCAATTATGGGGCTGGAGAGGTAGCTCAGCAGCATAAGCACCTGCTTGGCAAGCAAAGTCCTGAGTCTGAACCCCAGTACTGCATGCTGTGCTGATCCTGGAACCAGGTGTTATGGCACATGCTTGTAATCCCAGCACTAAGGACTCTGGGACAGGAGGATCATTATGAGTCCAAACTGTGTAGCAAGACCCTGTTTCAAAAAAAAAAAAAGATGCAATTATGACAGATTTTTTTCATGTTATTGAAGTTAGGCTGCTATATATTAAAACAAGAGCATTACAGCTTTAGAGCTGGGTGTGGTGCTGCCCGTCTGTAAGCCCAGCACTTGTGAGCCTGAGGCAGGAGGGTCCCCATGAGCTAGAGGCCAGCCTGGGCTACACAGTGAGACCCTGTCTCAAATACAAAACAGGAATGGTATAACTTTAGGATGTTAATTGTAATCTGCACAGTAACCACACAGAAAATGGTGGCAGAAATGAGATAGAAGGGCCGGGGAGATAACACAGCAGCATAAGCCCCTGCCTAGCAAGTGCAAGGTCCTGAGTTCAGTCCCTGTTGGGGGGGTGGAGAGGAGAGAGAGAGAGAGAGAGAGAGAGAGAGAGAGAGAGAGACAGAGACAGAGAGAGAGACAGAGAGAGAGAGAGAGAGAGAGAGAGAGAGAGAGAAATTCTAATATTGTATCAGAGAAAATCAAGTAAACTTAAAAAGAAGATATGGTAGTCCCTTCTTATCTCTGGTTTTATTTCTGTACTTTCAGTTGTCTGTGGTCAACTGTGGTACAAAAATGCTAAAAAGAAAAATTCCTTCGTTAACTCATGTGTTTTATTTTTTATTTCTGTGTGTGTGTGTGTGTGTGTGTGTGTGTGTGGCCAGCTCAGCCCACCAGGGGGCGGGGCTGGCTGGCATGTGGTGCTGGGGGATTGAACCGAGGTCCCTGTGCTTTGCTAATCTTAGCTTGTTCTAAGTAGGTGCTTTAGACCACTGAGCCATCTCACCAGCCCAACTCATTTGTTTTAAATTATGCATTGTTTTGGGTAACATGATAAAATCTCATGCTGTCTGGGTCTATCTTGTCCAGGACTTGATTCAGTCTTTTGTCCAGTGTATCCACCTTGCTACCTACCTGTTAGTCACTTACTACCCATCTTGGTTATGCTTGACTGTGACCGACTGACTGTGATCAACTATGGCAGTTACCCCCCATGCTCGTGTTAGAGTAGCCCTCACACTGGAGCCTAACACTACATCACAGTGCCTGCATCACTCACTATGTTTCATCACGGGGCACTGTGTCATCTCAGCATCCCAAGAAACCTAATTATAGTACAATAATATATTGCTATAATTGTTCTATTTTATTATCGGTGTTACTCTCTGACTGTACCCAACTTATAAATTAAGGGTATGGGTACGGCCATCCCCCTGGCCCTATACATGGTTTTTTGGTATGATCTGTGGTTTCAGGCATCCACTGGGGGATTTGAAAGGTTCTGTATTTCTGCCAGATTGGGTAGGGGACGGGGCTGCTGTAGCAATGTGGGAAATGCGGATCAATACGAGCATCGAGAAAACAACTAACAAAATGACGGAGTGAAATTCCCCTCAGTCAGTAATTACTCTAAATGTACATCCACTAAACTTTCCACTCAAAAGACAGATTTGAGGGGCCGGGGAGATGGCTCAGTAGAATAAGCGCTTCCCTGGCAAGCACAAGGGCCTGAGTTCAATCCCTGGTTCCGCCAAAAAAAAAAAAAAAGGCAGATTTGAACTTGGTATGAGGCTCATGCCTATAACCCCAGCACTCTAGGACCTGAGGTAGGAAGAATCCATAGATGTTCAACCCCAGCCTGGGCAATCTGGTAACACAGCAAGGGCCTGTTTCAAAATAGAAAATAAAAAAGGCTAGGGAGGTAGCTCAGTATGAAGGCCCAGTATTAGGAAACAACAAAACATCAGAATGAATTAAAAAATATGACCCAACTATATGCTGTGTATAAGAGACTCACTTTACATTCAAAGACAAATAGTCTGAAAGTGAAAGCTAGAAAAAGCTATTTCAGGGCCCAGGGGTATAGATTAGTGGTAGAACATGTTTAGCATGCATAAGGCCCTGGATTCACACACACACACACACACACACACACACACACACACACGTGAACATATTCTATTCCATACAAATAGGAATCAAAAGAGCACAGACAAAATAAGACTTTCAACCAAAAAAGGTTAGAGGAGACAAAAAAGGATTGCATATCAATAACATGTTCAATATAGCAAAAATAATTATAAACATTTACATACCTAACAACAAACCATCAAAATATATACAAGTTTTTAGAAGAGAAAAATCTTAATGACTTGGGGTTAGGCAAAGTGTCCTTAGTTCTAACATCAGAAGTATGACCCATAAAAGATAAAACTGATACATCAGACTTCATTAGAATGAAAGGCTTTTGCGCTGTGAAAGGCATTCTATTGGAAAAAATGACAAGATAAAGTGGAGACTCCATTTGCAAATCACGTTTCTGAGAAAGGCACTGTGTCTAGAATATATAAAGAACTCTTACTCTTAAAACTCAACAGTGGGGCTGGGGAAATGGCTCAGTAGGATAAGCACTTGACTGGCAAACGCAAGGATCTGAGTTCAATCCCCGGTTCCGAAAAAAAACCCAAAAAACAAAAAACAACTCAACAGTAAGAAAATAGATGACTCAAGTACAAAAACAGGCAAAAGACTTGGAGACACTTCACCAAAGAGGATGCACAGATGGCAAACACATGATGTTCAACATTGTTAACTATTACACAAATGCAAATTAAAACTATAATAAGATGTTACATACCGATTAGAATGGTAAAATAAAAAAGTCTAACAATTTCAAGTATTTAAGGTGTAGAACAAGTGGAAACTTTCTGTGGGAGAAGTAAAATGGTAAAGCCAATGTGGAAAATAGGTGGGCAGTGTTAAAATTAATTTTTAACGTACACCTACCATATGACCTAGCAATCTCACTCTTGCTTATTTATCCCAGAGAAGAACTTCTGTTTACACAAAAACCTGTAGGTGTAAGTTTACAGCAGTCCTATTCATAATGACCAAAGGTTGGGAAAAAAATCCAATGTCTTTCAATAGGTGAATAAACTTATTGCATGTTCATATAGTGGAACACAATTTATTAATAAAAGGAATGAACTAACACTACCTGCAACAACAGGGATAAAGCTTAAAGACACTACACTATGTGAAATCATAAAACCATATGCTTTCATTTATGACATTTGGGAAAGACAAAATTACGACAGAGAACAGAGTGGTGATAGGTTATGGCTCTAGTAAGAATTGCTGAATTATTATGGTGGTCATCTAATATGGCTGAAGCCCTTAAAACAATAGGTCATCTTCCCAGAGACCACCTCCCCACTTCTTCTCCAACTAAGCCCACGATGCAGTTTCCTTTCACCTTTCCCGCCACCTCAGGGAAGGCCCCAATCAGCTCCTCAGGTATATCTAAACTTCCCTCTCAAACCCCATCCCTGGCAAAGGCCATAAAAGCTCAGCCTCCCTTTGTTTCAATCCAGAGTATTTCTTATCTTCCCAAATTTTCTCCGTGTCCTCTAAGATAATGAAGTCCCTTTTCCTTTATAATAAAGCCCCTTTCCCCTTTCTGCGTGTTTCTCTGCTGGGACGCCGTTAAAACCTATCAAGTGGTAGTAGTTGCCAGGCACTAGGGTGGGGAGAATGACTGTAAAGGGATAGTAGAACAGAGATGGGGGGAACGATGAAACTTTCCCAATTCTGGTGTCCGCCATTCGAATCTATTCATGTGCTAACATTCACAGATCTGAATGACAAACTGAAAGGACAGGAAGTGAACATTCCATGGTACCTCGACCTGGTGGGGTGGGTGAGGGTCAAGAATGTTTATGGAAGTGATGTTGGAGCTGGGTTCTAAAGGAAGATCGAGAATTTTCTTAGGCCAACGACAAGTAGATTTCAGACAGGATTTGCGAGTACAAAGTCCCCGGGGCAGGAGGAAGATGGCTCATTTCCCTCCAAAATTGGAGCGTTCTAGTGCCCTTGAGAAGTGGGATTAGTGAAAACAGAGGCAGCTGGAGCAGGGCTGAGTTTGCTCTAGAAAGGCCCAGGCAAGGGCGTGCTGGAGGTGCACTTGTAAGCTAGCCTGGGGTCTTAACAGTGCGACACCTCTGCAGGGAAGGTGTGGGCATAATGTCCTGAGTGAGCGTTCCATTTCAGGCAGCGAGCAAGGAAGAGACACCCCATACCCGAGGTTGGGTTCTCAGTCCCCTCTGCAGGAGGCGGCCTGCTCCTGGAGCTTCCAGGCTCCAGACAGCACTCAACGGTGCACTGACCTGCACCCTGAACTGCCCCTCTGTCACGGCTGCCGCCTGGCTCAGGAGGAAGCTGCCTGCTGAGTGCTCCCATTAAGTGTCCTAAAGAGCTCAGGATTTCCAAAGGGGGCTGTGGCTTCTAGTCTCTCCAAGGACTCAGTGACAATAAGAGGGTATTTTCCAGTTAGGCTGAAGTA